AGCCCAGCTCAGGCTCCAACTCCCAGCTTCCCGCTCTGGCAGCTTCTTGGGGCTAAAACCAGAAGGGTCTTGCAGATTATTTCCTGAAGGGCAGTGGATGCCACAGGCTTGCCTGGGACCTGGTGGCAGTTTCTGGCGAGGGGCTGGGAGTGTCTGAAGCTGGGGCAGTGTGTGAGGTGTGGACGGTGAGACGTGTGGCAAGTGGAACGTGGGAACTTGAGAGACACCAGAGTTCTCCAAGAAGACAGAGAGGCTGCAGGAGGGTTGGTGCCATTGTAGTGCTTGGAGTCCGCCTTCCTGCGCTTCAGCGGGACTAGAGCCCGACTGTCACGGGGCATATGGGATGCTCATGCTGTGGCGCTGGCCACGCTCCTGCCAGCAGTCATCGAAGGGGTTGATGTTATGGGCACTGACGACAGAGGTCTTGTGTTTCCGGCGGGGACAGGAGGCACTGGTTAGGAATGCAGGCAGACTCTTGGGAGTTCTGGGAACCATCGAACAGCTAGTTCACTAGAACATGCTGGGTGTTCTCTCAAAGTACACAGGTCTGAGCCAACTGTAAATCTTCCAACAAAACAGGCGGTTGAAGGAGATGAGGAAATTTGGAAATGAGATACTGAGAAGATCAAAATGGCCCATTGTACTGGCTCCATAAGAAGCGCAAATGGAAGAATTTGGATCATGATGTAATTTGTGCAATACATCACTGTCTCATTAGAAATACTTTAGGAAAAAAGATGCTTTTATCCTGAATTATCTGGATGACTGCTTCAATTTTTTTTCCTCCTAATAGTTTTACTTTATCTTTTTAGGTTTTAATTGAACTAATTTGCTGACAGTTCATGTAAATTGTGTTTTTTCAACATTAAAAACAAAGAAACAAATCTAAATGCTCTCCGGGTATCATGGGGGTTAGGATCTTTAGAAGTCCATGGAAGTCCCTGACTGAAAGTTTTGGAAAGGACAACTCGTCATGCAATTAATATTAGTAATAGGAGATTGGGGACGCTGTTCATCCATCTCTTCTGTGCTACATGAACCTTCCAAACACATCTGTGATAACAAAAATCCTTACTCTTGAGGAAGAAGAGATATCATTCTGACAAACCCAAACTACCAAAGTTCCACCAACCTACCCTGTTACACGACTGGCCAGTAAAAAGTAAACTACTGGCTTCCTCAGTCCTTTGTGGATAGTGAACAAAATCCATTTCTTTACCCCAAAATCCCACATTGGTGGACACTGCAAATGACATTCTATGATATTTCGAGTTACATAGCCAAGTTGTACTTATTTCTCTTCCCCTCTAATACTTCCCTGAAACACTAGAGGTATGCAGATATCTGATAGAGGTGTTTCAAAAATGGCCCAACAATATATATAATAAAGAATTTATCGTGTAATCAACAGAGGGGGGAAAAAAACCCTGATTTTGTGGTAAAGGTACGCAATCTATTTCTGTTCTACTAGCAGGAAATACAGGACGGCAATAGAAGCTGTGCTTTACACTGATCTTTCTGAAGGCACTGACATGTTGCAAACTTTGCCTCACTTCTCTGACGAGAGTCATGGTCAGTCCATAGACAAGTCTATATGGACATTGGAATGATTTTAAAACTTCTCCATTTTAAGCATATGCTAGGTAATAACTCAAATATCCTACATTTAATTCATGTGGCCAGTCTTACAAAAAGAAAGGGAGAGGGAGAGGAGGGAAGGTGTATTTTATCTTGTCGGTAAAATACATGGTGACCTGCTGTGTAATTTCACCACTTAAATGCACGATGACCCACTCCTCCACCACCTGGATTCTTTGTTCTTTCCCTGCAATGGGAGGGGGAGGCCCAGACATCTAGCTATTTGGATTTGGTAGCATGCTTTGTGTTCTGGCTGTGTCACTGGGAACGAGGGGCAGCAAGCAGCTGAACCAGAGGTCAAGCCACTCGGCTACGCTCAGCTCTCAATCTGTTGTAGAGGAAAAAAAAAAAAAAACAACCCACCTCTGCCTACCTCCTTCGGCGAGGTGTCGTGGAGACAAAGGGGTTCCCTGTATCTTAAGTTCCTTGGAGGAATGTTATAATGGGAAACGGCTTTATGTGGAGGGGCATGTTTGCATGTGCGAGAGCTGAATTTAGCAGCGAAAGGGCTATTTTGTTTAAGTCAATAAACTGGCTGCTCACCGTGTCATTGTAGACCTGTCCATATTCCCGAAGTCAGACAGTGAGGATGGCATGAACTTACTTGGGAGGTAAACGCTAGCGGTGGAAGGAGGCGGGGCGGAGGTGGAGCAGAGGCACGTGTGTCCTTGGAGAGAAATGGCTATCCCTGAGCTGGGGGTGGCTGGTCCTCAGTGGGAGGACTCCCCAGCAGCCAGTTCTGGAGACCCGAGAGGCTGGAAGCCAGGGAGAATGTGAGTAGAGGTGTTCCCAAGGACGGGTGCCGTGAGCTATGAGGTCGGCCCTGGGCACGGGGATGTCACAAAGAACTCCTGCAAGTGTGCAGGTGTACAGGACTTTCCTTTCCTGCGATAACAGGGACGAGTCCAAACAATTCTTCCTTTCTGACACCGTTCACTGCCCTCTCAATCTACGAGGAAAGAATTTTGCTTGCTGAGAAGATCAAGAAAGTCAGAGGAAGACATTGAAAAGAGCAACTCGTTTAGAAGATTGCCAGCTGCCTCACCCCACCTTGCGACAGGGCGCAGGACAGAGATGGGATGGGCAGAGACATCTGGTTCCCCTTCTGGAGAGGCGGGGAGACGCTTTACTGGGTGGCGGCATTCCTGAAAGGCTCTCACCAGCCCCATCAGCCCAAGCCGGTGCCTGGTTCTGACACCCTTGTAAGGCAGCCCCAACTGCCGTCTGGAGAGGATGCTTTTAAAAATAAAACGTATGATTTTATGAGTTGAATGTGGAGTGGCCTCTCCCCCTGTGAGGGACCAAGACGACACGGGTGCAGCTGTTTCTCTGAATGCTTCTCGTCTGCTGCTCCTTCTTGGGATACTGAATACTCCTTAAGACCATGAACACAAAGATCATCTCATGGGCTATAGAGGACACTGAGAAGCCACTGTTTAAAAACGTCAATAAGGAGAAGATGTCGCTACGCAAACCCAGATCCCTCCAACTGCGCTGGAGTTTACTGAAAAATTCATAGCGGGAAAACAATGGGAAAAGAAGAGTCTAACCACAGCGGCTGCTCAAACATTCTCAAGCCTCCTGGCAACTTTAACAATGCAGATAAAGGGAGATTTGCGATTACTCGGCATGTAGTTACTGGCTGAATGTTACTTATTTGTCGGAAGAATCTGACTTTGTAAAACTGTAAGGTTCTTTGAGTGGCTCTTTAAATATAATCCAATAACTCAAACATCAAACTCTAAAATATCATTTGCTTGGGAATATGCACGTACAAACAAGCAGCATTCACATGGCAAACCAAATTTCCAATGCAGTCCAGAAATGCTTGGAAACCTCACCTGCAGAGAGTTCTAATAAAAAAATCATTTCTCTAGTTACTGCAGATCGCAGGTACTTTATTTGGATCTAGGGACTCCTGAAATTGTATGCAACATTAAGAAGGTTTATTTGTGTGTATGTGTGTGTTTGTCTTTTTGTTTTTTTCCTGGAGAAAAGAGCCACAACTGTCATCAAACCATCAGGCTTTGTGAGCCAAGAAAGGTTAAGGTCACCGTTTTCGATGACTGAGACTTGAGGCGCTCAGCTTGCTCGACACACGACTGCTTAATTCACTTCTCTTTCCGGCGTCCGGGCACAGCAGGAACAGAATCCCCCAAGCTTATGTTACTCTAATACACAGTGACAACGTTTTGGAGGCTTGTAATTAAAAAAACAATTTTTATAAAGGAACTGTATAAAAATAGACATTTGGGGGGCATTTTAATCTACATGTAGATGATGTGCAAGTGTGTACTCTTCTTAATCACTTCCTCTTACTTATCTCTTCCCCAGTTAGCTTCCTTTTCCTGGCACTTGGGATCTATTCCAGGTGGCCACAAGGAGATTCCCCACAGTGGAGATGAGCAACCACATGCAAGAGAGACACCACAAAGGCTAAGTCTACTGCGGAAATTAGGGGCCATCTTTCTTGACTGAGAAGTCCTCGAAGCCCCCAGGTGTCCTTTCTAGTTGAGAAATCCATGTTCCCACGAGACCTTCAGTGTAACACAGACTACTACTCCCTAACCTACAGAAAGGTCCCTATGGCTCAGGAGGAAAAGATGCCCACATCAACGAATAGCGCCCTCCTTGGCACCAGGTTCTAGCAGAGAACCACCTAGAAGCTTGATCCCTGTGAGGTGATGAGCAGGGACTGGGGAGCCGCATCTTCAGCTCCCTCTGCAGAGTCTAGAGAGGATCTTGTGCTATCAAGTTGTTCATCAATACTGCACTTGCCAGAAAAAACTTTTTAGGGGAAAAGGCTCTATACCCCAACAGATCCATAGCTCGGCTCCAGATCTGGAGGTGTTGTGAACCCCCAAGATATGTACAAATGGCATGTACGTGTTCCTGAGGAGAGGCTCTGTGACTTTAAACCAATTCTGAAATGGGTTTGTGACTTCCCTTGATACGGACACCCCTGGAACTCTGCAAGGAAAGGCTATATGGGCACATCTTTTCAGAAAACCTACTTCATTTTCTCAGCAAATTCCTTCTCTTCAGATTTTGCAGGACTAACTGTTGAGAAGGCCTAAGAAAGTAGGGATAGGTGCTAGTAAAGCTTGCACTGCAACCTGCTTTTTATCCTTTTTGAAGTTCCACGTAAAAATAAATATTTTTCAACCTAGGTTAGCTGTAGCAAATATGTCCATTAAAAAAAAAAAACCACATACATAAATAGGTTTTAGTTGCCTTGTTTTCAGAGTATGATGTGAAAGAAAAGCAAATCTTATTTCAGCCACAAATTGCAGAAACAAGGAGTGCCCTAATTTCTGAAGTGCTACACATCTTTTCAACGAGGAAATACCAGGCATCGAATATTTAGATTTTAGAATATTTTAATATCCATTTCTTGAGTGGATGCATTTTCAAATAATTAGAATTAACAACTTAAAAAGAGCAGAGTGAAGGAAAGATGGAAAAATGCAAACAATTGGTTCTTGCTAATTTAACTTTAGGTTCTAGGCATGATGTGATTTTCTGGAACAATCAACCAAAAATGCTTATCTCAAAAATCTAGAAATGCAAACGCAGACAGATCTTTGGAAACTACAAATTATTACAGTCCACGTAGCGGGAAGCACGTGGCCCTCTGGCTCTCAGTGTCAAGTGCAAATGTGCAGGTGTTGCATAATCTGTGTGACTCTTCAAGCTACTTAAGGGCTTCATAAATGATGCTCTACGTTTGTTTGCACTGGATAAAATTGTGTGTGTGCTTGTTTATATATACATACAGACATATATATATATATATGTATGTATAATTCAATCTGACTTGGGGCCAAGAAGAAAACAGCAGTTGCAACACAAAGCAACTATTTACACACATTCAGTTCTGAAGTATTGCTTCCTGACCTAAGTTCGTAAGAGGTATTGCCACTGTGAAGAATACATCCATCGTGTTGGTAGCGCTTGAACCGCTGCTTTGGGACCTGTCTTCAGCGACTATTTGTTCAACGCCAACAGAGCTGGGCGCATGGCATTTCTGCTGCAGAGATTCTGGGGTCCTGCGTTGAGGTATGCGTTAGGGCAGGGAACCGGGAAGGACCCACGTCGCCTAGTGGCCCAGAGAGCACAACTGTACTAGTTATTTATTAGGAAGGCTCAGGGTGTTTTTTGAAAGACAATTTTAAAACTCTGGGTGAGCCATCCATTGAAGGCTCCAATCAGCACAGTGCTGGACCAGACCACCAGATGTTAAGACCTTCTCCCTGCGGTCTACAGCTTCCCAGGGTCAGGAATCACAAACATTCTTGCAGCAGGGAAGGAAGAAGAGAATGTGCTGGGGAGGAGGCATGTGCAGAGATGAACCTGGTAGAGTGTGTTCTGAGTGGAACAGCAGAGACACGGCTGACTCGTCAGCAATTGCCCAGCCCCGTGGCTGCTGCCAGAGCTATGGAGCCTGGGGACGGAAGGCAAAGGGAGAGGACCACACTCAAATACACGCCTTAACACTGATGGAAGAAGCCCCTAACGCCCACCGTCTCTATGGGCAAGGACAGCATCAGGTAGTGTTTGAAAAAAATAAAAATTCTGCAGTATAAGAATACATTCTTTAGAAGCAAGAGGTATTGTCACACGGTCCTTTCTCCAGCATCAGAAGACCAACAAACTGACAGTAAAACCTGAAGGAAGATCTTGGTTACTGAGAATGCTCCTGACTCGCCTGGGAGACCCTGGCTGTGGCCGTGCTGCTGGGACCCATGCATGTCCCCCTGGAGAGCTGGCCAATCATAATCAGTATTTCCTGATACCGGAAATAGCAGATTGTGTATGAATTTGGGGGGCAGGGTTAATTATGGGACTTGATATAGATGTGACAGTTATACAGAGATTTAGCAGCGGGAAGAAAATGCACAGGGCATGCCGGTAAAGAGCTTCAACAGAGAAGGAGCCAGTCCTCAAATTATCCTGGGAACTGTACACCAGTGTCACCTGGAAAATAACTATGACCGTGATAGGGCAACTCCAGCCTGAGTTCAACACTACGTACACTCCAAACTCAACGTGGCAAAACATGATCACAGGCAGGATTAGCAACAAAGGACCCAGAAGGGATTCTCCTTAGGTTTTCTACACTCGCCCTAGTTCAACACCTCATCTGTGTGTAGACGGCTCTGTCTCCACGCACAGTGTAAGAACTCCACCTAAAGGGGGCTCAGATTCACACACCAGATCCTGTCCTGCCACAAGCCAAGAAAAGAAAAGGATGAGAAACCTCTGGGCTGTGTGGGTGCCAAGCCCCCGCCGGCACCGCCTGCCCACACTGGTGCTCTGCCCAGGCCTCCTGCTTCACACAGAGCAGGACTCTGACTCGACCCCTGCAGCGGGCAGGCCCTGGGGGCACACTCTGCGGCGCGCAGGACAGACGCAGCCGCGTCGTTAGGTCTGAAAACCGTGGCTGGGAGTCTCTCCGTCTCAGAGCGCGCCGGCCGTGCCCATCCAGGTCTTGCTCAGCTCCTTTCTGGGGACGTGGCCCAAAGCGGCCAAAGCACTAATGGGCATCTTCTCACCCTGCTGTGTGCTCTGCAGACCCCTCTCCCCCCACCCGACCTGTCTCCCTTCACCAGAATGACCTGGCAGCCCCTCCCCCAAACACACACTTCCTGATAAATAAATAAATAAATAAATGCAACCCTCAGACGTTTATTTCGAGTTTCCCTCTCAGAGGATTCAGCTTCAAAGACAAACCCCTTTGCTCCCAGCTGGAAGACCCCTTGGTTTCCAGGGCAGAATGAAACACGGCTCTTAAATACCTGAGGCCTGGGTTCACAAGCTGATTACTGGTTAGCTTCTAGAATTTTGGCCTGCATGTGGAGGAAGCCCTAATGCCGCGTGGCTGGGGAGCGGGGCACCCTCAGCCCTGAGGGTCCAGGAGCTCTGGAAGGTGCAGGTGGGGAGGGCGCGGGCCAGCCCGGCGGGCAGCTGCTTGCAGCCCATGCCCCCTCACCTCCCCTCACAGTGAGTTACTGGCACTTGATCTCAGATTCATAAATGAAAGTGTGTGTGCGTGTACATGTTTACATAGAAAGATCAGGGCATTGGAAAACACTAGTATGTATACAGGAAAAAAAAAAAACCTCAAAAACATTGCATTAGCAAAAAAAAAAAAAAAAAACCCCACAAAAAACAAAAAAAACAAACAACAATAAAACAAAACCCCAAAGTGTCTTGTGAGAAAATGCAATAAAAATGATTATCTTAACCACAGCTTCTGTTTAAAAAGTCCAGCAATACCCAATGCCATGATCTCCACCAGTGGCCTCTGTCCCTAGACTGGACGCCATGGCCAGCCCCTGAAGGCACTTGTTCTCCGTGCTGCTGGACGGTCACACCCAGGGGACAGGGCTCCGGGGGAGGAAAAGGAACAAGACGGATGGAGACAAACCCTGAAGAGCTGTGGTCCGCACAGACGTCAGGGCTGCAACGACCACATGACACCACGTCCAGGGACGGAGGCTGTGGTGCTCGGGACGCACGACAGGCAAGTACAAACGTGACTGGGTTTCGAGGAGCAGAGCACCGCGGCAGCGATGGGCGTTGCGTCACACGCCCTCAGAAATGTTGAGCCTGGTGAGCTCGCTGGCTTCTTCAGCGCCCGCGTCTTCACAGTCGCTTTTCTCTATGGCTTTGCCAAATTGACATCTTTCCTCAGCTTTGACTGGCTCTTTCCAGGGCCTCTTAGAGGAGAGGTGAGCATCCTTGGCCTGCACGTTGTTTTCGGAACCCGGAGGCGTCTTGTCCGCGCTCTGGACAGAAGGCACCGGGTTGGCGATCTCGTCCGTGGGAGAGCGGCCGATGCTGCCGTCCACCTGGACTCGGATGTCGGGGGAGATGGACAGCTGGTGCTGTGGCACGGCCCCGCTGTCCGTGCACTTTGGGTACAGGTAGGTCTTCATCTGGCCCTTGCCCTTTACATTTACCGTCCCTCGGTAGTCGAAGTCGTAGCCCATCTTGCTTAGGACGCGGTAGCTCTCCTCACTCACCTGGATCCGGCACTCCACCCCCGTGCTGTCCATCCTGCTGGCAATGTTGACGGTGTCACCCCAGATGTCATAGAGCAGCTTGGTTGTGCCGATGACCCCTGCCGTGAGCGGCCCATGGTTGAAGCCCACCCTGAGCTTGAAGTTGAACCACAGCATGTTGCTGTTGAAGTCGTCCACCACGCGCATCATCTCCTTGGCGAACTCGAACAGGACCTGCAGGTGCTCCTGCGGGTGGCTGCCCTCCCGGCACTGCGCGCCGTTCAGCCCTGACGCAGCCATGTACGTGGCCCCGATGGTCTTGATCTTCTCAATGCTGCCATAGCCCGGCCTGCTCAGGAGCTCGTCGAAGTCTCCGATGAGCTCGTTGAGGACGCGGTAGCACTCCTTGCCCCCCTCATAGTTTTCCTCGTAGAACTCGCTGAAGTTGACGATGCTGGCGAAGATGACGCCCCCACTGTCGTGGTTCTTGGAGTAGGTCTGGGAGACCTTCAGCTGCTCGGCCACGTGGTAGGGGATGATGTTTCTCAGCAGCCAGTCGGCCTGGTCCCGCATGCTCTGGATCTTGGTGCGGTGAAGGTCTGCCTCCACGTCCCCGTGGTAGTGCAAGCGGTAGCTGACCTCGAACTCTCGATTCAGGAACCAGACCAACAAGAGCAGGAGAAAGAAGACAAGAATCACCTCCTGGCCAATCGGGCTGGCTGCCCTGCCGCCACGCGGCGAGGAACTATTGCACAGGTTCCCCTCGGAACTGCAGAGCAAAGAGAAGAGAACTGATGGGCCTTCTTAAATGCATCCTTTAAGGGAGAGGTCGCTGCTCGGGATCTGCGGTTCTGAATCAGCCCAGCTAACTAGCACTCTGCACCAAATCCTGGGGCACTGACAACGTGCAGCCGCCAAGCGCCCCGCTTCTGTTTACTTGGCTGGCTGAAGCGGTACAGAAATAAACCCTGACTTTTGTAACTGATTTCTGAGGAAGCACTTGGCGACTGGTGTTTTTCAGGAGCCTTGAGCTCCTGGATTTTTAACATCTTTTCTTTACCTCCAACTTTCTACAGTGAAAATTCTCAACCTTATAGGAAAGTTAAGAGACCAGTAAAACATTCATACACTCTTCTCCTGGATTCGACAATTGCTGATATTTCACTGCTTTGCTCTCTCCCTCTGTCAATGCACACTCGTGCACACACGCCTTTCCCGCTGAACATTCTGAACATAAGCTGCAGATACCATGACACTTCAATCCTGAATGTTCGATCCCTATCTTTGAAGAATAAGGACATCCCCCAACATAACCACACCTACCATCATCATACCCAAGAAATTTAACATTCTCTGATGTACTCGCTTTTTCGATTTCTAATCCAATGTTGGTTCTGAAAGACGTGTACTTTTACAAAGAATTTTTGTTAAGTTCTCAATTATCTACCTGTGTAAAAGTCTGCCAATGGATCATTAACCCCACCCCCCTTTCTGGATTGGTTCTGTTTTGCCAAAGTCATTTAAGACAATGTTAACATTAAAAAAAAATAATATGCATACTTTCAAGAGTAGCACATTGTGAGAAACTCAGACGGCACAAACAGTGGGAAAAAATAAATGTCTTTCCTCCAACAAAGTATCGATTTTCTAATGGTTACAAAAAATTCTAACACATGGATATATTGTAACAACTAGACCCCAACCCTGGGCATCTGGGGCTGCGTCCCCGCCTCCTAGTAGGGAACACAGCAGGGACACTGCTGTGCACAGGTGGGAGTCTGTGTGGGACAAACTACTACTGGAGCTGGAGCCAGAGAGTCACTCCAACTACTGCACATTTACAATTCCATCAGAAAATTTCCAATTGCCCTTCTCATTTCTGTTCCCTCCAATGAGAGCGTGCTCTCAGGGAGGGGCTCTCGGGGGGCGGGGGGGCTGTTCTGCAGTTGGACGTGCTGACCAGCAACAGCTATGGCTGAACATTAGCGCCAGAAGCATGGGCTCTTTGAAAGTTGCTTTTTTAGATACAGTTTTCCTTTTAAAAGCACTACATACTCATCAGAAGAAATTTAGGGGGAAACTTAGAAAGAAAAGATTTGGCCGTCATCGACCATGCAGAGGCAATCACTGTTAACGAGCACTGTATTTCCTTCTTTGTCTTCTGTTTACAGAGCTGTGAGTGCTCTGTCCATGTCAATTCTGGGCTCTGATACACTTCTAGAGCACACAGACTGGGCTTCTAGATCTTATGTAGCAATGGGCTGAGTCCCTATAAATAAAATTCTATATAAAATGGATGGGTCCTCAGTGTAGATAGCTCCATGGCATAGAAAACTCAATCCTGTCATCAGAATGTTGAGCAAGTTTACTGTTACCTGTGACTTAAGGATATTATAAAAAATAAAGAAATTGACCAATCTGGCCATAATGGTCCTCACTGAAACACAGTCACAGGAGCCTTGACCTTGGAATAAGAATCCCTGGACTCTGTCCCAGCCGGCCCACTGCGGAGTTCTAGAATCCTGGGCAAGATCTCTAGGTCTCCATTTCCTCACACGCAAAGTGAAGATGGGCTGGAGAATCACTAAGTCCCTATTAGCCTCAGGTTCTATGCAAAAAGGAGTTAACAGAGCAGCCCTAGGCTGCCAGCCACAGAAAGGGCTACTGGCAGCAGTGCCCTAGGCTGGCATCAGGATCTCGGACTTGGGGAGGTTCCCGCCTTCCTTGACAAAAGGGGCTCACCGTGTCCACACTGCTTGTGGAAGCAATGTGGTTTATGCTGAGCACCTGCCTTCTTCCTGGGAGTCTGGCGTTTTGACTGATGCCAGGCAGAGATGCCTATGTGACCGGCCTCAAACAGAAACCCTGGGTACGGAGTCTCTGATGGGCTCTCTGGTGGACAACATCTCACCTGCTCTGCCACAGCTCACTGCTGGAGGAATTAAGAGCATCCCAGACTAGGTGGTGGTCTTGACAGCACTCTTGACAGCTGGTGCCTGGTTTCCCCCGGACTCTATCTCACGTACCTTTTCTCTTCACTGATTTTGCTTTGTGTCCTTTCACTGTAATAACTCACAGTACGACTATGTGCGGAGTCCTAAGGCCTCCTGGTGAATTACTGGTTCTGGGGGTGGTCCTGGGAACCCTGGCCATAAGTTCCCTGTGAGCCAGGAACCGAAAAAGGCCTCTATGGTAAGACACAACACACTTATTCTTCAATGGTCATCTAATCAAATGGCAAGACAGTTATGATTCTCAAGTACTAAACAAGTAAATTAGATGACTGAAACAGATTTGTGTCTCTAATGGGCTTGAGAACAGGGACAGAATCTGCCACAGGAGGCAGTAGATCTTCTCTTGTGTGGGCCCATCTCGTTGGCTGAGGAGGGGGCCCTTCTTTCTGTATCTCCAAAGTGGTGACATTGAGGAACAGTTCACTTTATAGTAGATGTCACCGAGGGATGCCACCATCTTCACAGTCAGTGGGGCTTTGTAGCCCTGGGGCAGACATGGGGGGGTGTCTGTATCTCCCCAAGCAGGCTACTACTCTTGCTGCTTTTCTTGCTGTGCTGTGGCCAAAGCCAGCAGTATGGCCTGGCTCTAGAGAGAGTGGAACAGACACCAGGGTCAGAGTGAAGGGCACCAGACTGCGATGTGTGCTTTCATCTTTGTTTGAAAGGAGAATCCTAATCCACAGATTTACATTTGGTGTCCAAGGGGCTGCTGTGCAGCAGAAGAGATGTGTAACGAGTAGGTGAAAGAATTACTTCCCAATCATAACCAGTATTTCTCATTCTGCCACAGAAGGAACAAAGATGGTGGTCTTATTCTTATATTCGAACAGCAAAGGTCAGTTCCAAAAAGAGGAATTCTATGTGATTCAATGCAAGAGTCAATTTATGACTTAATGATTAGACATTAAGTCATTATTGGAAGTTAGAGCAAAATACACTACAATTCATTAGCACAGAGAAGAGGGATTAAGATGTCGAGAAAAACAGAAAAAAAAAAGATCATTCGTGGTCCTTACCAGCTTAACGTGGGATTTGTTAACATTCTGGTATATTTCAGTGCCATTTAAAATATATGCCTAGAGATGGGAGGTTGGGGGTGTCACTGAGCGGTGGCATGGAGGTACTTCTGGGTACTGGGAATGTTCCATTTGTCTGAGTGGCATTTAGTAGGTGTGCTCACTTGTGAAAATTCACTGAGCTGTATTCTTATGATCTGGGTACTTTTCAGTGCACATGTTATATATTCGTCAATAAAAAGTTTACTTAAAAAAAGCTGCTAAGTGTTTTGTTTCTAAATAACTACTACATTTGTGATGGTAATAGAAACACGTGTGCCCTCTGCCTTTGTTCCATACTTTAAATCTCCTGCCCAGTGTCCATAGGTCCACAGAGATTTAATTTTTTAATTGTAGAAACAGAAAAAAGTCACTTGTAACTCATTACCAGATCTTAACTATTGCATGTCTTATATTTTTTCATACATATAATGAAATACCAACAGGATATTTGCAATTTCAAAGAAATGTTTTTCTTACCGTTGCATTTTAACAGTGGCAATATTTGAGTACATGTATTATTTAATTCATTTCTTTTTATTGGCAACTGAAGCTCTGAGGAATTTTCAGTGTGACCAACCACTGTGATCGACATTTTTGGGCAGACGGCCTTTATCATCTGCGGGATTGTCTCCTCAGCAGATAAGCAAAAACAGAATTATTAGGCCAAAGGCAATGAACACTTCTGTAGACAGATTGTCAAATTTCTTTTGAAAACCACGTACCATTCTGAGGAGTGATGACGCACGGCAGAAAGAGTGTGGCCCACTAGTGCGGGACGCCAGGGTTCACACACTACCAATGACTAGCTGTGTGACCACAGACAGGTTCCTTAACTTCTCTGAACTTCAGCGCCCTCATTGGGAAAATGCAGACAAAGCCACCTGTGTCCAGGCTACTGTGAGAATTAAATAAGCTATGTATTTTAAGTGCCTGGTAACTGAACAAAATGAACAGTGGCAGTGTAGGAACGCGCCACACCTCCCCTGCAATGGGGATGCACTGTAACTTTGCGAACGTCCAATTTAAACGACCTAAAGGAGTTGTGTAGTCATTTAAATCTCCAATGACTTAGAGAGTAACCTACGTTTACTCTCTACTTTACCTACATTTCCCCTTGTGAATTTTTGGTTTTTTTCCTTTATTTATGCAGGTCCTTGCCAGCTATTTAGGTGACCTCCCACAACTGTCTGTGTGCCCACACCCACGGGTATGCCAGTCAGCCTTTTATTTTTGCGGGTATGTGGCTTTATTTGCTATCTGTAAGACTGGAAAGTTATCTCTGCTTTAGAGGCCTGCAAACTAATGTTATTTTTTCTAGATTTTTACACAGTGTTATATAATTTAATGTTTATTTCTGACTCTTCAGTTTATTTAGATCTTACTTTGATGTCTATAGTAAAGCAAGCATCCAACATTTACTATTTCAAATTTCTAGTTAGTAATTTCAAAATATTTTAGAGAATTAAAATAAGTACTGTTTTAGACTTGACAGATTTCCTTTATAACATGCTGAAATCTTATGTAAAACTGAGCCAAAGCTAGTATGTTCTTAACACACTTTATTTTCCCAGTAAGGTATTTTAACTATGATCTGTTATTTCAACAAGTATTATTTTTCACAATAACTTTTAATAATTATATATGTTTTTTATCTAAGATACGACTCCTTTTTAGCAAGTTGCTCTCATTTGTGCAGATATAAGCACGACGTTAACAGCTTACCTGAAATTCTGTCCCACATCCAGGTGTGAAATTACTACGGAACTGAAATTAAAATGCAGAAAAATATTACTATAAAAAGCAAAAAAGGCATTATATAAAGTGACCTGAGAAGAGTTTACATAAACAATTTTCCTTTTTCTAATATGGAAATCAAGTTAGATAACTAAGAATAGTTAATTCTTTATTATAATTTGATGTTGTGTGTTAATTAAAAATCACAACAGGCATGGGGCACCTGGCTGGCTCAGTCGGTTAAGCATCTGACTTCTGTGCTGACAGCTCAGAGCCTGGAGCCTGCTTCAGATTCTGAGTCTCCCTCTTTCTCTGCCCCTCTCCCATTTGTGCTCATGCTTCCTCTCTCTCTAGCTCCCTCTCTCTCTCTCTCTCAAAAGTAAATACATGTTTTAAAAAAATTTTTTTCTAATCACAACAGGCAGGGGCACCTGGGTGGCTCAGTTGGTTAAGCTCCAACTTCTGGTCAGGTCATGATCTCATGGTTCGTGGGTTTGAGCCCCGCGTTGGGCTCTGTGCTGACAGCTCAGAGCCTGGAGCCTGTTTCAGATTCTGTGTCTCCCTCTCTCTCTGACCCTCCCCTGTTCATGCTGTTTCTCTCTCTCTTTTTCAGAAGTAAATAATTTAAAAAGAATTTAAAAATCACAACAGGCATGGGGCACCTGGCTGGCTCAGTCGGTTAAGCATCTGACTTCTGTGCTGACAGCTCAGAGCCTGGAGCCTGTTTCAGATTCTGTGTCTCCCTCTCTCTCTGACCCTCCCCTGTTCATGCTGTTTCTCTCTCTCTTTTTCAGAAGTAAATAATTTAAAAAGAATTTAAAAATCACAACAGGCAAAGTCAGTGACAGAGCTAATAGTACTTCACGTCAGGTGTGGAATGGACGCACTGTCATCAAAGAGCAACATCTAACAAGGAGTGTCTCTCCAAGGCGTTCATGTGACGGTTAGGATTCATCTATGGGGTCCTACAGGCTCGACACCAGTCACCATGAACAGTGATACCCTCTGACAAAGGAACGATCTAGAATGGAACTCAGGAGGGGCACCTGGGTGGCTCAGTCAGTTAAGCATCTGACTTCTGATCTCAGCTCAGGTCATGATCTCACAGTTCAGGAGTTCGAGCCCTGGATCTGGCTCTGTGCTGGTGGTGTGAAGCCTGCTTGGGATTGCATCTCTCATTCTCTCTGCCCCTCCCCTCATGCTCTATCTCTCTCTCAAGATAAATAAACTTAAAAAAAAGAAAATGTATTTGTTAGAGAGGAACTCAGGAGATGCTGGCTACCTGAAAAGCTGGTGGTTCCAAAGCAATTAAGTCCCAGCCTGGAGCACAGAAGCCACACACAATAAAGAGCTCCCTCTTGGTGTCAGGGCAGGACCATGACATGTGGTATCCTCTCAACATCCCTCACAGCCTCTTCTGGGTCCCGGTGCACCCAGTTCCTCCCTCACCCAGGGCAAAGAATCATCCTTGTGCCCCCACACTTCCTGGTCCCCTAGAGCTACCTGTCCCACTCACCGCAAAGGGGGACCTTACACAGCCTCTGCCAGCTGCTCCCCTGGGCAGCAGAGGCCAGGGGACAGCTCAGAGTGGCTGTCACCATCGCGGAAGGTATTAGATGATGTCACAGGGAAGGAGAGAAAGAGCGACAGCAGAGAGACTGCTCTCAGGCTGAATGTCCTCTCCCTGCCCAGACATGACGGTGACACTGGCTCTCCACGTGTGCGTAGCCCTTCTTTCACATCAGCGTCCCCCAAGGCTGGAGCGGTTCCTAGAAGTGCCCTCCCCTTCACCACCTGCTCACCAATGTGGGGGCTTGTTCACCACTTCCCACGCCTCCTGCCCTGTGACCCTACGAGGTTCAGTGGTGATGACAGGGTGGATGGGCTCAAAGGATTTTGCGAGTAGGAAGGAATGCCGGGTACAGGGGAGGATCAGGCTGCCAGCCGCACCCCAGGGCCTGCTCTTTGAATTCTGGACAAAGGTGATGGAATTAGTCCTTCATCACTCAGGTCCCTCCGGGGCCAAGGGGAAATGCCCGGCACCAGCGACTAAGTAACACTGTGAACGGCTGATGGGGTGTCAGTGGTGGTTCTCTTAAAAGGTTAAAAGGCAGACTGATGAATCCCATGCTCTTGGGAAAGAGCTTTATAATGATCCTAATTCCAGATGGCTATACCTTCAGAAAGGAAAATGTACACTCTGTTCTGCCTAAAGTAATTTAACTATTCATTAAAGTTTCCTTTCAAATGCTGAAGGAAAGCTTTACTTAAAAGTCCCTTTTGATCTTAATTTGCAGAGAACTTGAGTGTTTTTCATGTCGTCATTATTTTATTAACTAAACTGAGGAGAAGGGGGCTCACTCTGTCCATTACCGACCACAGCTTTGCTCACGTCCACAGACACATTACGGCGGTTTCATCTGCTATTGCAACAAACTAGCTCATTTTCTACTTCCGAACTTATTACAGCAATGATTCTCAGCAACAATAATGCCATTCCTAGGGGGCATTTTGAAACTGTTGGGGCTCCCTCTGGTTGTCCTAGTAATCTGAGGAGCCAGGAATGTTAGCTATCCTGCAAAGCAGAGTGAAGGAATGCCCTGTGGAACTTTGAAATATCCCGCTAGCCTAAACCCACTGTAATTATTAAAAAGTGGTTCTTTAATACATGCTAAGAGTAAAATGTTTTTTTAAGCAGTTGCCAAAGAAAGTCCAATATTTAGAAGAAGTTTAATGCTTAATGGCTTTAACATATTATTCTAGGGGCGCCTGGGTGGCTCAGTCAGTAGCAACCAACTTCAGCTCAGGTCATGATCTCATGGTTCATGAGTTTGAGCCCCACGTCAGGCTCTGTGCTGACAGCTCAGAGCCTGGAGCTGCTTCCAGTTCTGTGACTTCTCTGTCCCACCCCTCCTGGCATGCTCTCTCTCTTAAGAAAGAAACACTTAAAATTTTTTTTAAAAAAGACCTTATCCTGAAATTTCTGAATTAGTCACTGTGAGCATTCTGCTACCCAAGGCAACACTATTTTTCTAACTACACACCTAGTTGAAATAGACTAATAGCCACAAAACCAGCTGCAAATGTACAACAATCAATAGGAGACTTGTTCTTAACACATGAAGAATCAAACATTATGCAGTTAGTAGGATACACAAAAGACAGGGATCTTACTGGATTTCATTAACCTAGAGTGTTTTAAATACAGCACAAGTCAGTGCCATCCTATAAATTTCTATTTGTTAATTTTTTGTAGCATGACGGCAAGAACCGATCAGGGGACTGAATTGTCCCCGGGGTCTTCCACATAGCTCCTCTTTCTTTTCCCACACTGTCTGATCTATTCCTTGGAACCTACCACTGATAGGGTTTTGAAGCCCATTTGAATACCAGGGAATGAAAGTATTCTTCAAATGTGGAAGGATTTCAAGACTAAAGATATATTTCCAGTGACTGGTCAGTACTCCATTTCATGTCATGACACATGTGTCACAACAGTGAGTCAATATACATAAATAAGGCCCAGGTCACCTGCAAGAGCACCATACCCCCTCACTTCCTCTCCTTCAGCAGCCTGCAGACTGAGTACATTACCCCTACTCAAATGAGGTTGGAACCAGCCTCCTCTTTGCATTCTTGTGTCTACCTATTCCTCTATTCCTTCATTTTCTTGACGGGCTCATATCCAATGGCCTCTGGTCCTACTTCTCCAGTGTAAGTAAGTTCAAGCACGAGCCTACTGCGTTATGTCCTTCTAGGGTGGGGGTAGTCACCCAAGGATGTCGATATGCAAATACATACCACATTGCCAAAAATTAACTTTTCTTTCTTGTGCATATCAGTCTTGGGGCATGCTGTGCATGGTGAAAGCTGTTGTGCTGTGACAGTATGTGTTAGAGTGGAGGGAAGGGGCATCAGGGCGCATGTGAAAGACACAGGTAAGGTTGGGAAAGTAGTCCCACCCAGAGGGTGCTGGACTCAGACCGTGGTGGTGGACATACCTGTCTGGGCACAGGGAGATGTAGAGCAGGAGCAGCGGCCCAGCCCCGACGACGGTGGCTAAGGAGGATCTCATCCAGGAGCTGAGCTGGCAGAAGTTACAGTAGTGCACGACGGCGGTCAGGACGGCAGAGCCCGTGAACACGGTGAACTGCAACAAGGGGCCGGCGCGGTTAGGGACCTGCCCTGCCCTCGCCTCAATCCCGTACTGACGCCAAAGGATTCACTCACTTATCTTTCAATATAAAAATGCCACAGTATCGCTAAGTTTCAAGGACAGATCACACACCATTGCGCTGATTGCCCAGAGCTTTAGGCTCTGCTGGCACCAGAGTTCTCGACCAGATGTGTGAAATTGGCCTGTGTCATGCTGGAGGAAAAGGAAGGCAGGCCACCAGTCTGAAAACCACCGCCATGTAAGTGGCTATCCAATGAAGCCTTCCTTTGGGCATCACACTACGTGCCAACAGAATTTGGCAGCTCGGGTTACACTGGCTTTCACCAAAAACATACCCTTCCACAAGGGCATTAATTCACTCCTTGTGGGGTCTAACCAGGAAGCTCCTCCCTAACCAACAGCAGCCAATCCAGGGGCTAGTCACGCAGCTGTGCCGGTGCCACAGACGAGCACGTTATCCTGTACTGACTGGAAACGCAGGGCCGATGCTACTTCGGAAACAGCTCATCTGGAGCTCGGCAAACAGCAGGTGAGGCTGGAGAGGGCACGTGTCGACTGGGCAGGGCGGCTGAGTACCCGCCCCTCTTGACTGTGGTCAGTGACAGGGTACACGCTCACCTCCCTGCCTGCTTCAGGCAAGTATTTTAAAGAGGAAAAACTCAAGGTGGTGACAAAGAGTTTGTCCCTCCCTAGAGGCCTATATTTAAATTGCTGTCCCAATACTGGTTTCTCTTCAGATCGCATAAATCTTTCACCTTTTAAATTGCTGTCCCAAGTCATCAGGGTTATTAAAAAAAAAAAAAAGACGAGGGAGTCCAAAAGAGCCCAGAAATAGTCACTAGGGCTTTACTTACGTGTATGTCGGTGTCAAATTCGGAGGTGACGTGTGAATACACGGCGAGGGCAGGGAGTGACACCAGGATGGCCCCGATGAAATGGCGTGGGAGCCAGCCGGCTATGCGCTCCAGCAGGCGCTTGGTACAAGCCATCACATCCTCCAGGAAAAACACCATCCTGGCATGAGGAGGAAAGGGGTGTCTGCGGGTGGGTCAGCCTGCAGGGGAGGATGAGGGCGGGGGACCCACAGGCAGCCAAGCGGCTGAGTCTCACCTGTGCTGCTGCTCTCAGCCTACAGCCTAGTTACATCTCGTTTAAACAGAAAGTGCTTTCTGGGTGGTACTAATGCACAGTGATTTTTCAAGAATGAACTAAAATGTGATGTGCCCTTTGCGTTTTTGGGGGCCCTCAGTGTGGCTCAGTCAGCAGTTCAGAAATCAGCTGCAAGCCAGCTCACAGCACCGCGCCACCACACCCGCACACCGGTGGCGGTCCATTCAGGGCCATCGTGCACCTGAGGACACGGCTGATGCCTCCGTGACGGCCTCCTGCAGTGCTGCCACGGCGAGTAGGAGGTGAAGCACCGTGTGTTTTATGTATTTTATCTTGAATGGCTTTCCCGCTCTTTCTCCTTTGTCTCGGAGTGACTGCATTTCACTGACCCTTCTGGAGCTATGCGTGTGGGTAGGTAGGCTGTACTCCAGGATGGGGTGTGGACATCACAAAAGAACCTTCATAAAGAGGGGGAAGCAAGTGTGTGGGGCTCAGAACCGCTGTTCTGGAGGAAGAGTGGTTTGGGTGAGTGAGGGGCCAGTACCTGAATGCCAGCAGGGGGGAGATGGAGAAAGGGGCACAGGGGTTCAGCTTGGGAGGGCGACGTGGGCACACAGACCCTCTCTCTGAAGCCTGGCCTAGCAATGGGGAGAAGGGACAGACCCAGTGTCCTCACCTCTGGCGGGGGCCGAGGGGTGAGTGGCCAGGCACTGCTGTTGAGCTCGGACACCACAAGTTCCTCTCCAGGGCCTTTGTCACACAGCCAGGTGCCTGTACCTTGTGTCATGGACACCTCAGTGCAGCAGCCACTGGCACCACGCTTGACCTCCACCAGGAAACCACAAATCTCAGCCATTTTCCACAAGGAGCAGGCAGGCCCTGTCTGACCCTTTTAGGGCCTGGATGGTTCTGGCCTCCTGACACGCAAACGGATAATGGAGTCCTGGGAATGTTTCCAAGACTAACCACAAATATGCTCAAAGGCAGAATACATAAGCCCCATGAGGAGGCAGAGGGAACCAAGTTCCAACAGGGAGAAGGCAGGGCCGACAGGCCCTTCACGAAGGTCCCCAGGACGGCAGAGCTCTGAGGGTGAGACCCACTGTGCTCACGCCTGTCTGCGCTCAGCACAAAACGAGGGGACTGCAGGGACAGGCTGTGACCACACTGCAGGACGGCCCCCAGAGCAGCTGCAGGACCCGTCTCCCTGGGGCACCTGCATATTTCACAGCACGGGCCCCTGTTGACCTGGAACCCTAAAAATGCCCTCTGCGTGGCAAAAGGAACTCCATCAAGTCCCCAACCCCTCCCAGGTTTGATGATATGGGTGAAGTGAACTTTTAAAGTCACACCAGCAGTTGTTCAGGAGCAGCGGCCATCTCATTGGAAGGGGCTTGCAGAGCGTGTGGGTGTGACAGGCCCAGCACTCACCGGGGTGCAGCCAAGCCTGACATCTTTGTGGCCTGCAGCTCGTGGCAGTCTCCAGGTTAACCCAGACCCCACAGAACTGTCTCCAGTGCAACAGGGAACAATGGTGCAAGGGGCTTTTTACAAAGCATGGAGACAATGGTAGCCTCTGAGCGAGCAGGAGCCTTCTCTACCTGCCGGGACCTGTGTCACACAGAAACCTGGGCCCAGGGCAGGGAGCGTGAGGGGACTCACTGCAGATGGACACCAGGTTTTCTTGGGGGTGATAGAAATGTTCTAAAATTATACGGTGATATTTGCACAACTTGTAGGTTTATTAGGAATCACTAAATTGTACACTTGCATGAGTGAATTTCTTGTATGTGATTAAAAAAAAGGAAAAGACAAACCAGGGGCCTGAAGATGCCTTGGTCTGGGATCCCAGAAGCAGAGCTGAATTGGGAGTGGGTCCCAGGCAGCTCAGCAAGGAGTGCAGAGCCCACCTCCAGGGTCCGTATGGAGGAATCCCTTGCTCCGCACAACGCAGCTCAGTGTGGGTGGGGAATCTAGGTGGAGAGTGTGGATGCACCCGCAGTTATCTCAATCTGGAGGAGACATGAGGGTCAAGTGCTAGGCCTCCGGCGGCCAGAGAAGGCCCTCAGCAAAAAGCTATGGGGTTGGGAGTGGGGTGCTCGCTGAGGGCCTGGTTCTGCAAGAGAGAATGCTGTGCAGTGGGACTGGAGGAGGGGAGGGGAGAGGACCAGCTGCCCAGAACGAGAGCTTGTAGGGGCCTCTGACGACGAGGCAGGTCAGCCGAGCCGCAAGCTGACGGTGCAGCCATGAACTATGGGGCCAGCAGAGGGAGCTAAAGGCTAAAGGCTGGAGAAGAGCCCACAGGTGGGCCTTTACCTGACGGAGACCACGAGGGACAGCACCTCCAGCAGCAGCGCGGCACCGAACACTGCCAGGGCGGCAGGCGGGGGAGGCGCAGTGGCAGCCCCATACTTCAGGAAGCAGGTGATGGACAAAATCAGAAACACTGTTGTCGACAGAAACACGTCCAGGAGGGAGCTGAAGGTGGCACTGGCAAAAGTCTTCACAGGAGAATTCTTTATGACCTGTGTGCGGGAAGGCAGGGAGGCTGGAGGCGTGACCCAGAGCTGCGGCAGATGGCCACGGAGTAGGATTTAAATGGAAAATACAGCCAACATTTGTTGAGCACTTGCCCACCCTGGAGCACGTACAGGTGGTTAAGTTCTTTTAAGCGACCATCTCTACTGTCCTTTTTAACAACGAGGCCACTAAGGCACAGAGCATTTAAGAAACTTACCCAAGGTCACACAGCAAGCAATTACAAACCAGTAAGTTCTCACAAGCACATTACATACTGAGCCTGAAAGGTGGGTAATGGATGGCAAAGGCAATGACTCTGTCTATAAAGCCTGTTACTCAGAAACTTCCAATGAATGGCTGGGTCGCAAGTTCAGGGTGTGTGACAGCTGGCTTCATGTCAGAAGTAAGAGGCAGGGATTGAACCCACAGGAGATGAAAGCATGGGCATGTCAACAGATAGTAAGATACTCAGGCCTTCAGTTAAGAGCCTGCTCGGGGCCTGGTTCTGTGCAGGGTGCTGGGAGCTAATGGTGGGGATGGACAGGGTCTGAAACATCAGGGTGTTGTGGTAAACATAAAGTGACATCCATAGTGTTAGGGAGTCCAGGGAAGGAGGGAGAAAACGAGGGCAATGCCAGCCAGTAGAGAGCAGGGGGCCCTGGAAAAGACATGCCTGCAATGCTAAATGAAGGAGCACGGAAAGATCAGGGGTGTCCTCCTTGAATGGATAAATCACATGCAGATGCACCTTGGGGCTTATAGACTGAGAGAAATCAGCAGTAGCCTTCAGTTTCCTGTCACTCAAGGGGGAGAAAAAAGCTGCCAAAGCACAAAGCTGATAGTGAACTGTCCAGCACAAACAAATTTCTATCGCAGAAGTATGAGGGGAAACGCACCTCTTCTTGATAGCTAGTCCTGTAGGATCGCTCTAGCTCCTGATCCAGGAAGTTCAAGCTGAACAGATTGATGGGTGGTTTGAAAAAATAATCCTTCATCAGGCTAGAAGAAATGAAAAATGTGTTGATCAACGCTGGGCACATCGTACTGACTTTATCAGAATACCGCAATCCACTGCCTCAATTCCGTTCCTCAAACATGTCACAAAAACAGTGTCTGAGAGTCACTATGTGAGAGACCCTGCCGGACCACTCCCTTAGGACACATGTCTGGAAAGTGCTTTGTGTTTCTAAAACACATGTTGTGTTTCCTCTCCAAAAAAAAAAAACAATGGCTGCTCACTGTCATTATAGCACACATCACAAGAACCCGGCTTCTGGAAACATCTCCCAGTGTCTGGGGAAGAAGGCGGCTCTGTCGTGCTAGGAAACAACCGCTTCTGGAGAGGCAGACATCCCCGTGCTGAAAGGACTTAGGCTGATTCCAAGGCTTCCGACGCAAACATCACTCAGAGCCGCTGTCCTGCCGTTCAGCGCTCTGACAGTCATTACGGCTGTCACAGCTGACAGGCTGTTACCACAAAATGGTTTACATTTAGTGTAGCTGGGGTGTTATTGTCCCATATGCAGATTGCGTGTGAAACCTGAAAAATAACGCTCAAGGATTTTAACAGCAGAGAAATCAAACCTGCTTTACGTGACTCTCATTCTTTTGTGGGTTGCTAGCAAATAGTAAAATCCTTTTTATTCTGCAGAAAATTATTATAAATTTAAGAGAATGTTGACATGATTTCAGAAGGCAAATACAACCATGGAGTGTAGCCTCTCCCCCACACGACAACTTCTGTAATTAAATCAGATAAAACAGAATCCCACCCGCGTGCCTGACACACAGTGGGGTTCACACAGGCACGCTCCCTCCTGTCCCGGCAGCACAGCTGATGCTCCCCTTCCGTGACAGGTGCACTGGACCTCACTATGCTCGCAGACTCCGAAGAGAGAAAATTCCAACCCCGAATGCTGACCCTCGTTCTCCCTCCCACTCAGGAAGTGTGGACAGAGAGAAACCAACACAGCGGCTATAAGGATGATGTGCATCGGCCACATTTAGCAGTCAAGGGACAGGATCCACACAGTCTGAAGCTGTGCTGTTCCTCTGAAATTAATACTGGGAAATTCCACTCCTGGGAACAGAGACTCCTTTTGGACCAACCCCCTCTCAGATAACAACAATGAACTCGGGACAAGATTATAAAAATGACTCCTAGAAGGCAGTGGAGATTGACCAAAGCAGTAGAAGATGGAGGAGAGTCACACTTGGAAGAAGGGAACAGCAGTAGCTTAATTTCCCATTTTTAACCTTTTTTTTTTTTTTTTTTTTTTTTTGCCTGAAGACAGCATTAGTCAGCACCACATGCCGGATGGCTAAAACTCAGAAAAGCCACAATCTTGTTGGCTTGGAAAATCATGAAATAATGTCTGGGTGATCACAGCTGAGAAAATGAAGTTGAAAATCCCAGGAAAAGAAAAAAAAATAGAGAAGGGGTACCCCCAACTTCACCATATAAGCTCTGCTCAAATCTCTGGCTGACCCCTGAAATATCCAAATGCACAGCAGACTCTGAGCAGCCTCATTTAGGCTTAAAAAAAAAAAAAAAAAGAGCACCTCCCTACCCCAGGGGAGACAAAGTTTGGTGTCTGAGTTTAGGTAAGTTAACTGCCTGTGGAAGGAAAGAAGTAAGGAAGGGAGGGAGGGGAGGTGAAGGGAAGCGGAGGGGAAGGGAAGGGGAGCAGGGGAGGGGAGGGAGAAAGAAAGAAAAATTGATACTCTTCAGAATAATACAAGAGAATCCAGAGTTTCTAAGCACGACACAATCCAAAGGATACAACATGCAAAGAAACAGGAAAACTCAACAGAAGAGCAATCAATGGAGACCAGTGTGAAATTAGCAAGAGGATGGCATTAGAGGTTGGGGTTATAATGCATGTAAATGTAACACATGTAAAAGCTACAGCATAAGGGGTTGGAAGAAGAGAATGAATCTATACAGCTATAAGATGTCTACATGTTAAGTGAAACATGTAGACATGGCTGGCTGGCTCAGTTGGAAGAGCATGTCAATCTCAACCTTGGGGTCATGAGTTTGGGCTTCATGTTGGGTATAGAGATTAGTTATGTAAATAAATAAGTAAACTTAAAAAAAAGAAAGTGAAATGATACAACATTAACCATAAGAAGGCTATAAAAATTAAAGGATGCCTATCTGTAAGTCCTAAAGCAACCACCAAAAAGTAAAATAAAATAATGCAAAGAGGTATGGCTAAAAAGTCAGTAAATATATTAAAATGGAATTAAGGGGCAGAGATTTTTAGAATGATTTTTAAAAAGCAGCACCCACAAGAGACATACTTCAACTATAAAGACACAGGTTGAAATTTTTTTATGGAAACTGATATACCAGGTCAATAGTAAGGACAAGAAGGCTACAGTTAACTACACTTTAGTATCAGATAAAGTGGATTTTAAGACAGAGTATTACTAGGGATAAAGAGGGACACTTCAAAATGACAAAAAGGACCAATTCACCAGGAATTTATAACACTCACAAATGAGTACGTACCTAAAACAAAAGAGCTTGAAAATACTTGAAACATACACTGTCAGGACTAAAAAGAGACACCAACAATTCCACAATCAGAGTGAGAGATTTAAAAATCCCTCTCTTCACACTGACAGAATAACAGACAAAAAGTAAAGACACAGATGATCTAATACTGCCAACCACTGAGACCTACTTTTGTTTATGAATCATAACATCCTAAAAATGCAGAATTTATCCAAGTGCACGTGGTATATTCACCAACACAGACCCATTTGAGACCATAAAACAAGTATCAATAAGTGTAAAAGGACTGAAATAACATGGAGTATGTCTTTGGCTACAAGGACATTAAATGAGACATTAACAACTAACATATCTAAATACCATTATTCACTGAATGGAGCCAAGGCTCTTTGGAGAAATGGCTGATTCCTGCACAGGGTCAGGGAAGATATAAGATGAGCCTGGAATATTCTGTTGTGCTAGAACAGGGCGCCAGAAACTCTGAAAAGCAGAGGATGGGGCCGTGTCAAAAGGGCACAGTGCCCTGCTGAAGGGGGGCTCTCGCTGGCAGATTCAGGGCACCTAGAGCATCACACGCAGTAAGGGCAGTGCTGGATTACATCCTATTAAATCACAGAGGACTCCCGGAGTCCAGGTTGGCAGGGGATGGATGGATAAGGTAGTAAGTGAGGAGGGGCTCTTCACCGCGGCACGCCACGCGCCTAACGATGGACGTGCAGTTGGTGCTGAAGTAGCGAAGCTGACATTTTGCACCACTGGAGGAAAGACCATTTCAGGCAAGAACCATCGATGGAGATGAAACCTAGGGTGGTCTGATGAGGAGTGGAATGTGGGTGTGATCTGCAAGTCCTGCATATTAGTCTCAAGGAGAAGATAACTACAGATTGGAGAAGTCAACAACACCTGCCTGGTTCCCAAAATCCCTGTCACTGACGGAAGACCAAGGGCACGTTTGCCTCTGGATGGGACCCGGGAGGACACATCATTTCTGTGGCCAAAATTTCTGCCAAACTGGAATAAAAACTGTAAACTAGATAAAATACTGTATCTATGTTAAATTTCCTCAATTTAGGAACTGTGATTATGTAAAACAACATCTTTGTACTTAGGAAATAGAGAATTTAGGGGCAAAGGGCATGATGTATCCAACTTACTACCAAATGGTTCAGAAAAAAATAAAACAAATTTCATAGAGAGAGAATAAAACAAACATCATAAAATGTTAAAAGTTGGTAAGTCAGCCAAAGAGTAGAATGAGAATTCTTTGTATTATTCATGCAACTTTTCTGTAAGTTTCAAATTACTTTAAAATAAAGTAATATACTGACAATGGAGGGCAAACACATGGGGAAAAGGGGATTCAGAAAAAGGAGAGACCTCTACCTGCAAACCTTTACTTTCAAACGAATGGTTGACTCTTACCTGTCTTCTTTGATGACATCCACAAAATGGGCATCTGTTTTCTCCCGGATGTTCTTGAATCTCAGCGGAAGGAGAGCTGACTGGTCCAAGCTCACCCCTGCCCACCTTCCCTTTTCCTGTAAGATCTCACACAGGGAGGTCTGACTGTTGGTGAGCTTCTCTTCTTGGGGAGGGCTCAGAAGTCCGTTTTGAGTTTTGGAATTAGGAGCTGCGGGAGCCTAAAGGGGAGCGAGAGGCAGACACAGAGGCTGAAGTGCAGGCATGCAGCAGCACTATTCCATCCTGGCCTCAACCACGAGGGCCCCGCTGCACGCCTGACCACCACCCTCACATCTCTGTTCTGACCTGACGCTCGGCCTCTCCACCCACCCGCTTCTCCCCACCTCCCATCGTGTGAAATCACACCTCCCGGAGTCGTCGAGGCAGCCAGGAAAGTGACATGGTGGGAAGAACCAGTGAGGGAGCGGAGAGAAGGCCAAGGAAGAGCTGAGGCTCTCGGAGCTTGCTAACCACAGAACCGGCATTGCAGAGGTCTGTGGGAGAAGCGGGGGGCTGGGGTGGTGGATACGGTACGGGGCTCAATCCAGGGGAGGGTGGAGAACAACCGACGTAGGCCTCCCGAGAGAGTCAGCCTTTATAAGCTGTCTTCAAAGGGCTCCCGGCTTGCTGTTTGTTCTCCCTTCCACTGCGGTCCTGACTCTGTCTCCAGGTGAGACCTCTCTGGCAGTGTCCTCACCACAGGCCCCCATCCCAAGGCTCTCTTCACAGTGCATCTCTGCTCCTCCCGAGCCCCCTCCTGCACATGTGCAGTGTGCCCCACAGACCTTCCCTCGCCATCGCAGTCCATGTGTCTTGAAGCTCTGACTGCCCACGAAGGGAGGCATGTGATTACTCCAGTTCACGAGGGTGAGTCCTGACTCTCCATCCCGATCTGACTAGTCTATTCAAAACCCAAAGCATGAGAAGGTACAGAATAGTGTCACCCACGGGGAATTATTCTCAGAACTGAGAAGCTGACAGGACAGGCATGTCACTTCGGGTGGATGCACCAGGAGAGGAACAGACAGGCACAACAGCCACGAGCTGGTTACCTTGGTGTTGTTTTTATGCTCCTCTTGACAGCCGTTTTGGATGGCTCCTCCTTCTGCACCAGCTTCTGATTTGGGGGCAAACATGATTCCGCATGAAGGGCAGGTCTACAAGAAAAACACACACCGTAGGAACACCCCGAGAAAGCACGGCCAAAACCCAAAATTCAGCCAAGTCTATGGATGCAATCAGCTGTCAGGCCGAATGGCTGTTACTTGGCTGTAACCAAGTAGAAGGCTTACTGAGCTGCTTGAGCATGAATTAAAACAAACTAGCCAAGTGAAAAATAGAAACATGTCCACGCAGATTGGTATGTGAGCACTCAGGGCAGCACTATCCGTAACAGCCAAAAAGTAGAAACTCAAATGTCCATCAGTGGATGAAAGGATCAGCAAAACATGGCGTATCCGCAGACTGGAAGAGCACTGGGCCATCAAAGGAATGAAACCCTGACACCTGCTACAACATGGATGAACCCTGGAAACACTGACAGGTGACAGAAGCCAGACACAAAGGACCACATATTATACGACTCCATGTACACGCAATGTCCAGAAAAGGTAAATCTGTAGTGATGGTAAGTAGATCGGTGGATGAGGGGAGGAAGTGATGGGGAGTGATCTAATGGATGTGAAGTTTCTTTTGCGAGGTGATGAAAATGTTCTAAAATTGACTGTGGTGATGGTTGCTCAATCTTGCAAGTACACTAAAAACCACCAAACTGTATACTTTAAAAGGGTACATTTTATGTTAATGTGAATTGTATCTCGATAAGTGTGTTATTAAGCCAACAACCCAGCCACTAGCCTATACAAGTTTCTCAAGCTCTGTGTGATGGTGAGCTGTTTGTAGAAAACAGGCTGAAAAGTCCGAGGGACACGTTTATAGACCCAGGAAATCTCTGAAGCTTGAGCAATTAGCTGATGTAGAAGAGAGAAGTGGAGGCTTAGCATGGCCAGGCAGAGTGGAAAGGGCACGACTTTGCTTCTCACAAACCAGGGTGTGGAGATCCCTATTCAGACTGCGGACCTCAATTCTCTCACCTATAAAGCAGGAGTGGTGACAGTGTGTGGGAAGAACTAAGTGAGGAAGCACGCAGGGCGCCTGGTCTTGCTCCTGGCATTCAGTGCTTCATCTTACTCTTACCATGGACGTGACCCAGTGAGCTGGCAGCCACCACCAACACAGTGACTAACAGCTGCCAGTGGAGAAGGCAAATGGCAGCAGGACACATTTAGTGGGACTCCAAAACAATTTCTAATTGCACTAATTTCTAATCAGCACTGTTAAATGCTGGAATACATTATAGAAGCCTAGATGTTATTTTAGAAATTTAAAGTAAGTATCATTTAGGGGCACCTGGGTGGCTCAGTAGGTTAAGCATCTGACTCATACACATCATGATCTCATGGTTCACGTGTTGACAGTACAGAGCCTGCTTGGGATTCTCTCTGTCTACACACGCACACACTCTCAAGACATACATACATAAGTAAATAAGTAAGTAAATAAATAAATATCATTTAGTGTCTAAGGGCAAGGATATGACTTGTATCACATCTGATGTTAGATTTCAGGCCTCTACTATATTAAATAAAAGAAATAAAGATTCTAAAGAGTTGTGTCATCTGGGAATCTGATGCGATGTACAAGTATGAACGCTTGTATTCATTTGCAAAGTGACAATATACACACCAAAACAGCAGGCCACTGAGGTGTCCAGCAGGATTCCCCAGGGTGCTCCCTGGGGGCCCGGGGGTGGGTGGGAGTGAGTGGCTCTGGAAGCAGCAGTGGTGGCTGCTTCTTTAGGGTAACACTGGCTTTGCAAGGGCCCACTGGCAGCCCAGAGGGAGAAGGGGATACAATCTGGTGCAGGGGACAGTCAGGGAGACTCTAACCTGAGTCATACCCTGAGAGTCCAGGGCTTTCCCCAACCATGTAAAGACACGATGAAATAGTAACAGCTACCTCTCTGCCCATTTTTTAACTTCATGGCTAGAGAAGTAGCATGACAACACTAATCGTAGCTAGTGAAGTTACTATAGTGATTACTGTGTGTAACACAGTGATCGGAGGCTCCGTCATGGACCAAATCCTAGTTCTAACACGTAATATGCACAGGAATCCCTGAGCCTGTTTCCTCCTTTCTAAAATGGGACCGTATCTCCCTCTACTGACCTCCCAGAACAGAGGTGAGAAGGACGAGGGGCCCCATCCTGGCCCGCTAGGAGGACTCTGCATGAGCGAATGGAAGCGCGCTTGCACTCACCACACTGGGCTCTGCCTACGGCGTCAGTGAGCACTCAGCAAATGCTGGTCCTTAACAGTAAAACTTCCGGTTCTGAAGATAGCACATCTGGTCATTTAATGTCCTTGTCACAGGGCAGCCAACCTCATTGTCTCTTGGCATCAGTTTGTTCCTAAGTACTTTTCTCGCCTCAAGCACAGAACCTGTACTTTGAAAACAGGGCCTGTGCTTCTCAGGCATTGCCCATGGCACCCTGGCTTCACACATAAAAGATGCTTTATGCACTCAGAGCCACAAACAGGCAACGGTGACCACCAAACCTACTGGACACCAGAGGGCACACACCCTCTTGTGAAGGAGTCCCTAGACACGCAGTGCAGGCACACAACTTCAGAACGGTGCCCACTCTCTGAAGGGTGACCGCGAAAGGGCTGGAAGAAGCTGTGGAGGCCAGGAGTGTCCATGGAGACTGGCTGATCTCAGGAGCCTGGGACATCTGGACAACCCAAGTCTACCTCTCTTTGACATAGAGGCTATGTGGCCCAGTCCCTCCTGTAATAAAATGTTCTACTACAGAGGTTCAGTCTGGTAGCCTGCCCACAAAAGAACCTCTGGGAGCAAAGGCACAGACATAATGTTTGTCAACGGTCTAGGACTGTGCTCTGGGAGGGTCGGGGGTTTGTCAGTCGCATGTCAAGCAGCAGACGGCAGGCCCTGCGGTCAGGACTCGCAGTGGCCTGAACAGTGCTTGCTACTTCCTCTGCACCCCCACAGCAGCTTCGTGCAGGAGTGTGGACCCCAGGAGCGGGCGGGAGAACCAGCACCCCAGGAACTTACAGCATATGGATCCACAGGACCCTCTCACTGCGCTTTGAAAATGTGGCTTTTTTCCTTCTATTTCTTCCTCATCTACTTTGCTTTTGGGGGGGCAATTTTATTGATTAAATCTTTAAAACAAATGAAGCAAAAAACCGTGGAGAAGTCTGTACGCTGATAGAGACAGCCTCACATCTCAACACTCCCTTCCGCTGTGCGGTGAGAACCCCCTCTGCACCGGGGAGGCCCCGCAGCAGAGGCCACAGAAGCTGGGTTTGTCTCCCTCTCCACTGCCCACAGAATCTTTAACGACTTTTCAGCTTCGTTTTAATCTGGGTGAGAACATTTCATCAACTGGTTTTTGCCGAGCGCACAGATACCTCTGTGAAATGTTTCCCCATCCATTAAACTCCCCATCTTCTCCCGTGGAGAAGCCTCACTGGGAAGAGCATTTCGGACTTCAGGGAACTATCGGGGGCACCTTACCACCCTGGGAGGCAAGGTGTCCGACAGCCTGATACAACGATGCGGGACTGAGAATCCCTATGTGCTGAGGGCACGGCAATGCACAATACTTATCCGCGCAGTGTCTGGGGTCTTGTGTGCCTGACAATCACTCCTCATAATACATCACGAGGCTGCTCTGAGGACACCATGGTTCATCAACAGGGGGAGTCGGACCGCAGGTTCCTGGTCCCTGATCCCCATGTGGCCGTCCTCTGGCCTCCTTTCCTAACACAGGGAGGATGCAGGAATAATCCTGGCACTTTGCTGTCCTGTGCCTCACTCCCCTGAAGTAACCTAAGCAGATAGGACCACCTCCCAGTTCTTTTAAGGGGCACTACTGGCAACTGGCACCCAGGGAAGCTTGAGTAAGACCAGCTCCAGTCCCCCCAACAGAGGGCTCTAGGGGCCAAAGAGTGTGCTGGCTGTTGCCTGGGACCCTGAGATCCCTTGGAGAACACCCAAGAACACACATTTCCCCAGATGCAGTCTGCTCCTGCCCCAGCATGGCCATCGGCTTTGGAGGGGAGACTTTAACTACTTCTCCAACACATTAGAGCACACTTGCATTTGTTTTACGCACATTTCAATACAAACATGCTCCATTCTGTTCAGAATATATGGCACAGAGGTAAAAAACCGGTTTTTCTTCAAGGCTCTCTCTCTTCACAAGATACATCACTTCTAAGCCAACAGCTGTACTTTTTCATAACTGTCAAGGAAGGGAGGAGGGAAACCTCTTTTCTGAGAAACGAAGAGGAAACAACATCAGAAAAGCCCTAGCTTCACCTGCTTGGTCGGCTGAGTGTGACTGTTTAGTAAGCTGTCCTGTGACCCAGAGAAGCAGCACTTGCTCCCAAACTCGAAACCCAAGCTGAACGTGGCCGACAGGAACGTGTGACAGTAATGACAGAGGACTTCCTGAGGCCCACGTAGGGTCTGCACTCTCTGCCTGTAGTCCTCAGAAGCACCCGGGAAGCAGACGCTGTGATTAGCTCCATTCTACACATGAGGAGACTGAGGCAGAGAAGAGAAAGGACTTGCCCAGTGTTACCCAGTTAGAAAATGACAGAGGAGAGCTTAGCCCAGGTGGCGACACCCTGGACTCTATCTGTGGATGTGGCCTTCCGAGTGAGGAGAAAGTCACCCTGCTTGCTACTGTCCTTGGTGGGCCAGTGCAGCATCGTTTAAGCTAGTAGGTTAGCAGACGCATGAACCCTTCCGCGTAGATGATTTCTGCAAACAAAATACTAGAGAAAAATAGGAGCAGAAATTGTTACAGAAGAAGAAAGGCATCTCAGAAGCTTTAAGAACAGAAAACGTACAGTCTGAGAGTACAGGAGGCAAAACAACAAAATAAAACAGAAACCTGTAAAAATCAGACGCAGGATCTCAGAGCCATGGAGCGTGGAGTCACAGAACCCTGCTCAGATTCCTGAGCCCTAAACCACCACTGGGTTCAGTAACGGAGGCTGATAAGGCAAGCAGATGGTTACTGTGTTGTGGAAATATTCCATCAGGAAGTCAAAAGAAGAAAAT